GTTCATGAAAATTTGAGCGGCACTAACATTCAAAAGCTGGATGGTTTCCTACGTATATTTTGGCTGATTATAGAAATTAAGGACTTGTGCGCCGCTGTTTGTTGATAAGCACCTTGTTTCTCCTTGCATTCGTGGAGGTCATTTAAACAGAACGGTGCTCAATGTTATCTTAGCGCACTTGCTGTCATCGATGCATGTAGTATCATTTTATATATTTGAACGATACCTTGCTCATCAGTAAGATCTATCGTTTAAATTCTATCGCAAGACAGATAAAGATTTGTACACTACAGTATACTGATAAGCGCTTTACTCTACCATATCGTATTTCATGCTTGCCCATTACATATTTCATGACATAGTGCTGACGTTACTAAAATGTTTAGCTGCATGCAGTTGATGAGTGTAGCAGTTATATCCAATTTATAGTAATTGGACAATCTGAACAAACAACCTTGCAAGAGATATGCGTAATGTATCCGAGGATAGAATATATTCTCAGTTCTCGATCTGTCGTTCAGGACAACAGTTTAGAAAAAATTATGTAAATTCTTTTACTCAGTGACGCGTTCCTGTGCCCCGCACCAGGGTTATATTACAGAAATAAAATAACACGAAATTCTAAAATGGGTTTCAATAATAATAGCGTTTGTTCCATTAATTTTTTCAGACAGACTTGACGATGACAATCCAACTGCTACTCAGACTCTATGAACTCGTGATATTCATTACACACTTGACTTTAGTCAGCAAACATGTTGGAAACCTGGAAATGTTTCACGGTCGAAGGTTAGTTAGGCACTTTTCCTACCTCAAGCCAAAGTTTGATGACGAAAAGGAATACGTAAAGCCACAGTCTACAAAACTGATCAAGGTGGAGATGTAAAATACAATCTTTTCCATCATCACATAGAAATTACTTCGATTGAGTAGAAATTTGAGGAGAAGGTAGTGAAACAGCAATGGCACAGAGCGAAGTTGCTCCGCAGTGCACTTAGTAATGCGGATGCGCATCCCGGGCGTTGCGTCCAGCCAAGAAAAGGGTCAAGTTGTTGGCCTAAAAACAATATCGACAACACTGTGTTGCGGTGTGATCAACCTAGATCGTTCGAGACTTATGACCATGTTATCTGATGTGAGCGCTTTTCTTTATGGTTGCGGTTCGCCCTCGCCCACCTGACGACTAACTAAATCAGCACAAGATGTAACCTTGTCATTAAAAAATTGTTCATTTTCAAACAGATCAATTTCAGCATGAAGAGTTGACTGAAAGCAGA